ACTGGAAGAGTAAAGTTTTACCTACAATAGAGGACTGGAGAGTGAAGGTTTCGCATCTTGCTGAAATGGCAAAGATTTCGGCTTATTTGAAGGATCACTCAAATGAACAATTTTTATCAATATGGAGAAGATGGATTGTTTATATTCAAAATAAGCATAGAATGGTGGAATATAAGTTAGGTTTTTAGATAAAAAATTTCTTTCTTTATACATATATATATATTTCACCTACTTATGTAGAATTACATTTTGTGGAGTTAGGGATATTAATATTAGTTTACTTTTAGTTGAATAGTATCCTGGGATTAGGTTTGGGAAGTCCGGGTGGGGGGTGGGGGGGTGGTTTCAATTGTGATGTACTTGTGATGTGTTTTTTTTTATGCTGAAAACAATAAAAAATTCTTTGGGAAAAAAAAAAAAGATTAATGTATAATATTATGAAGACCAAAAAATGAGGGGATTAGCCATTATTCAGAGAATTAGGTTGCTAACTTCCTCCACCTTTGCTCTATCTCAGTTTCAATGAAGGAGCAAAAACATCTCCATTCCAGCATAGGAAGTGATCAAAAGGAGGTGAGTAAAGGTAATCCTCAATTTACGACATTCAAAGTTATAACAGATCCCCCCAAAAGGTACTAATGATCTGGTTGCAAAATTCTAACAACTGCCCCCTCTGTGCTCACATGATAATATTTTGGGTACTCAGCAACTGCCCCACATTTAAGGCTATTTGAATCAGCTCACAGTCACTTGACCTTGATTTACGATGGTTTTACTGAAAACCGTTGCTTCTGGTTTTCAGAAAGAATGGCCCATAGCAAACAATGAGTTTGCTTAACAATTGCGAATTCACTTAATGGTCTGTGGTGATTCATAATAATAATAATAATAATAATAATAATAATAATAATAATAATAATAATAATAATAATAATAATAATAATAATAATAATAATAATAATAATAATAATAATAATAATAATAATAATAATAATAATAATAATAATAATGTTGGAAGGGACCTTGGAGGTCATCTAGTCCAATCCCCTATACCATTTCAGACAAATGGCTGTCCAGTCTCTTCTTAAAAACTTCCAGTGTTGGAGCATTCACCACTTCTGGAGGCAGGTTGTTCCACTGATTAATTGTTCTAACTGTCAGGAAGTTTCTCCTTAGTTCTAGGTTGCTTCTCTCCTTGATTAGTTTCCATCCATTGCTTCTTGTCCTGCCTTCAGGCGCCTTGGAAAATAGCTTGATTCCCTCTTCTTTGTGGCAGCCCCTGAGATATTGGAATACTGCTATCATGTCTCCCCTCGTCCTTCTCTTCATTAAACTAGACATACCCAATTCCAGCAGCCTTTCCTTATATGCTTTGGCCTCCAGTCCCCTGATCATCTTTGTTGCTCTTCTCTGTACTCTTTCTAGAGTCTCAACATCTTTTTTACATCGTGGTGACCAAAACTGGATGCAGTATTCCAAGTGTGGCCTTACTAAGGCATTGTAAAGTGGTATTAATACTTCACGTGATCTTGATTCTATCCCTCTGTTAATGTAGCCCAGCACTGTGTTGGCCTTTTTGGCAGCTGCAGCACACTGCTGGCTCATATTTAAGTGATTGTCCACTAGGACTCCGAGGTCCCTCTCAGAGTTACTACTATTGAGCAAGGTACCTCCTATACTATACCTGTACATTTGGTTTTTCTTGCCTAAATGTAGAACCTTACTTTTTTCACCATTGAATTTCATTTTGCTAGATAGCGCCCAGTGTTCACTTAATAACTGCCACAAAAAAAGTGGTAAAATCAGATAGGTCATGTGATGACCCTGTTTTTTGATCATGACCTACTATTATAATGGGAAGGCTCCATTATGGTCGTGAGTCGAGACTACCTGCATATACTAATAGCTAGGGTCAGGCTGCCTCAGTTTTTTTTTTGTTTTAATGAAGCAAAGGCCCCAAGTATCCTCCACATTATAGTTAAATATAACTGTAATTTTAGAAAGCTTTGGGTAGCAAATAGATATATCTCTTATGTTTTTAAATTAAACTTAGAGATAATTTGACCAGCAAACGAAATAACGAAGGACAGAGAAAATGAGGTATTTCTTACCAAACACGGTCAGCATTAACAGCTTCATCATACAATAAAATATACACACAAAATATTCCAACCACCAAGGCATGGAACGTAGATACTGTCCTAAAAAGACAAAAGCAATCCCATTAAGCATATGCTACCTTTAAATTGGTGGCACAGTAATGAAAAAAATAAACAATTTCCCATGACCTTAAAATGAGATTTGTGCAATTTAAATGTTTCTTATGTACTGGATACCTCATAAAAATAATGTGGGTTGCTATCAAGTATACTATAGATGTATAATTCATTGTAATTGATTTCAATTGTAACTGAAACTTTGCCTTGCCAAATTTATTGTTACATTTTGGGGTATACCAACTGATTGTTATTATGATTCTGGATCAACTGCTTTATGATGCATATGTTTTTCTTGGCCTGATCTGGAATCTACAAAGATCAAGATTATGATGATGTTATCCCTTCAGTCCAGTTCAATTCTTGGTGATTCAATGGGCCAGGTCTCTCCACAACTTCCAATCTTTCACTATTTTTTTTAGTTTTTCTATGCTCTGGCTGGTATCAGCTTTGATAGTGTCCAGCCCCCATGGTTTTTGACAGCCTGGTTTCCTTTTATTGCTAACTCTTCCAAACATAATTGCTTTCTCCAGTGAATTCCCCTGCATGTCGTGGTCAAAGTAAGTGAGATGCACTTCTGTGATTTTGCCTTCTGGTGACCTGTCTGGTGTTATGCACTCCAGTACTTGCTTGTTAGTCACCTTCTCCAGCACAACAGCTCAAACAAGTCAACTTTCTTACTGTCTTATTTTTTTTAAGGTCCAACTTTCACAACAATAGGTGGCTACAGGGAACACAATAGAGCAGGGGTGTCAAACTGCTGGCCCACGGGCCGAACACGTCATCCGGAAGCCACACCCACCCCATTGCTGGCAATGGCAAAACCGTCCCGATACGTTGCGCGACATCACGTGACATCACAAGTTTGACATGTCTGCAATAGAGCGAACTAACCTATATTTGGTTACCAGGCTGATGTCCTTGCTTTTTTTTAAAGGATCAAGGATACTGAATTTTCTAGGCATGTCTGTTGGTTGAAATAAGGAGGAGAATTCTACACTATGGATCAGATTTTAATATAGAGCCCTTATTTGCTTGCAGGGGAGGGGGGGTATCTTTTCCTGAATCACAAAACGTCTGTTTTCTATTATTTCAAGAAATCATGCTTACTTGGTGAATTACCTTCCTATTAGCTTTTAATATAGACACACATGTTGTAAAAAGTAATGTAACAACTTAACATTTTGCAGTGTGGTATGTCTAAGTAAAATTAAAAATGTTTGAGGAAAAACAAGTCTCCCGGTATCCATTCAGCTGACCTCACTCCCATGTCAGAGAGAAAAATGTAGAGCAGGGCTTTTCAACCAGTGGTACGGGTACCACCTGTGGTACATTGGCACTTGGCAGGTGGTACGTGACCATTCTAGAAAAGTAGTGGAGGAGGGGAATGAGAGCGCCGCCGGGCAGGCAGGTGTCTTGCTCGGCTGTGCCTTGGGGGGCACTTTTTTCAGTGCCATTGTAACTTCGAACAGTCACTAAGCGAACTGTTGTAAGTTGAGGACTACCTGTACTTTATCACTTTTTTCCTTTTTTTTGGTCATCAAGTTTTTCACACCTTGCTAGGCGACTGGTGGTACTCGGATATTGCCATATCCTAAAAGTGGTACAATGAGTGAAAAGGTTGAAACGCCCTGATGTAGAGCATTCCTATATTTTCTCAGATACACAGGCTATTTTATTTTTTTTGAAATAAATTTCACAAGCAAATTTAATTGTTCTCCAATAAAATATATACAGTATATGCAGCAATAACCGACCAATTTCAGATGGTAACCTCCTTTGAGTTGGGAACTTTCCTCTTTTGCTCTATGATAGGCTTGCACAATAGGGAGGCGCGAAACATTGCATTATGGTCTGGCATGAAACATTGCAAAATTTTTAAGTTTGCCAAACCTTTGAAGTGGCTGGCTCAAGACAGATCAGCCTCCCAGTTAGCAAAATGTTTAACAACTTGCATGGCTCAACATCTTGCAAGAGCTTTTGGTCCAGCTTGTTTCAAACAACTGGGCTCCATGAAAAGACATGGGAGGTTTCCTGGAATTCCATTTGAAGAAAGACTGGGCAGTTGTGGAACAATGGCCACATACTTGTTGAGTGCAAACTGTGTACTTTTCAGAAAGGATTGCTTACTTAGATTCTTCTTTTAAAAACTAAAAAAATACTGGGGCACCTGGGAGAAGCTGTCTTACTTTTTTGCAGGGAACTAACCTGCCCTCTTTATTTCAAAGGCCATTTCAAAGAAGACAGAATATTTAGATCAGTTTGGGTTTAACTGTCGGGGTGATGGCTTACTATGGACATATCCTGTTGTTTTCTTGGTGTCTACGTGTATATTTGTATTAGTTTTATAGTTTTGATACAACTAAATCAATAACGTTTTATTCTATTCTGTGAAACAACCTATTTCAAACATGAGCTAGGCTCTTTTGAGCATTTCCTTGAAATTATATATTTTGCATTCCAGGAAGGCATTTCATAAACTTCAAACAATTTGAAATTTATCTGTACACCCTATATATTGTACATTGATACCAACTTATTAAATAATATTTTCTGCATTTATTCAAGAAGATATCTGTTGTTATGGGGAAAAAGAAGAGAAAGAAGGGGTATTATGTAAGTTCGCCACTTGAGTTACTTATAAAGTGATAAAGACAGGATAAAAATTAATCAATCAAACCAATAAATAAATAAATATTTGTAAGATATCATGTAATCAACACATGTTTTCTTGAATTTAGAGACCAGGTGGTATATTAATTATGTTAAAAAAAATAATTAGTATATTGTGACCAGTTCACAAAGTTAAACAGGATATCATATTTTGTTCAACTGTAAATATCCTAGATAGAATGTACTTTGAACTTAGATTAAGGCATAATTTATACTGATTGCAATTTTTGACAATAAAATGTAATCTGAATGTTATACATTACTATTAACTATTTTTTTAAAAGTCAGTAAAAATAACCAAGGGTTAAAAGTTATTTATTCAATTTAACTTTGATAAAGTGATAACTTATAAATTACTTTTTTTAATTTTTTAACATAAATCCTGACTACATTTTTCTAAAGGAATTCCCCTAAACAATCCGGATATTGTTTGAACAAGTACTCCACAGCTAACAGCCTAAACATTTCAAACTTTACAAATATATATAATCGTATAATATTATTTTAGAACTGTACCTTGTATTCCACTCAATTTTCTTCTTTTGGTCAAGATTGTTAAAACCAGATGTTAGACGTGAAGATAGCCAAGAACTTAGCACATGAAAGCCAAGTTGAAATATAGCAAAACTGCTGACAGCTATGCCCACATTGAGTTTATTAAAGATAGTCATCTTTCTTCTGCCTGTTAAAAACACAATTTCCAACAGAATTCCTCAATTCAGGCATGTGCCAAATAATGCTACTACTTTAAAATCAACAATAATTTACATTAAGACTGCAATTCTTGACAATGGGCACAGGAGAAGTGTATTTGCTGCTGGCACAGTCCGCCTAAATGATAACTTGTGGTAGGGTTATATCTGGCTGCACCCATTGTTGCATGTATTCTATAGATTGCAAAATAAATACTTTACATATTCCAACCTCTTTATAAAAAAAATAGTCTAAATTTACAGTATTAGAAGAAAATTAATGAAATGTCCACTAAATCTAAGCCACGACAGACATGATGCAATATGACAATGATTCCACCATACCTGCATACAAATTGTAACTCTATATCAGTGGTGTCAAACTGCCGGCCCACGGGCCAGACGCCTCATCCGGAAGCCGCGCCCACCCCATTGCGTGACATCACGTGACATTGCGAATTTGACATGTCTGCTCTATATGAATTGATGGTATACGAAAAGGAAATCAATCATTATAAATACATGCCAGTTGCCAAACACCCAAATTTTAGACACCTGACCATGGGGATGCTATGACGGTCATAAGTGCAAAGACCAGTCAGTCATAAGTCACTTTTTTCAGTGCTATTGTAACTTTGAGTGGTCACTAAACAAATGGTTATAATCAAGGACTACCTGTATACTCTTTGTAAGGACTAGAGTCAGGGGTAGGCAACCTTGGCTCTTTTATGACTCGTGGACTTCAACTCCCATGGCTGGCTCAGGAATTCTGGGAGTTGAAGTCCACGAGTCATAAAAGAGCCAAGGTTGCCTACCTTGGACTAGACCCTCAGTTATCATTGCAAGATGTAATGCAAATAATTAATAGAAATGAGATGCTGCAATTTCCTGTTCTGGATGATGAGTTAATGTAACTGTCACAGAACTATGAACAGTCATTAGGAGAGATAAATGAATTGACAAAAAAAGACTGAATGCATGCTTTTAGATACGTACTATCTATCTCATTAATCAATAATAATCATCTAGTCCACCTAGTTGGTTATGCTTTAATCACTACCTGTATTTTTCCCACGGCCTAGAACAGTGACTGGTATTAAATAAAACTGTGATTCTTAAAATGGACGCAACTGAAATATTTAAAATTACTCCTTCCAAATGTTTTACTCAGTATCTTTATGCCAAGGCTTTATGGACCCATTAACCATGAAGTTTTGTTTGAAATATTACCAAGATATCAGTAGATGAGAGAATATGCTCTAACAGTTCATAATACACCCCCCCCCCGATTTCACTGGTTTGTGAATTCAACATCACTGCTATCATACAGTAAAAAGGAAAAAAAATAACAAGGTTTGTAGAACTTTTCTGGTAGCAAAATACTTGCAGACATATTAGAAGAAATGCGAATTGAGTTTTATAATAAGTGTCACCCACTTCATGATTAATATTGCATTCTAACACACATATACTTTGCACAAAGAAAAGGAAAGCAATATTGTGTAACCTCTAACACCCATGTGAATTAAGCTATTTTGTACATTCCAGTTCCCAGCTTCCAGGATTGAATGAAATAGCACCAAAAAAATTAGACCCTCCCAACTGCATGAAGGTCTTTCTTTTTTACATATATAATATTTTATTAATTTTCCAATTTTACATTTAAGTACTTAAAAAGCAACGTGGTGGCTGGGTTAATCAATAGTTGGATAACAAAATCTTTAGTACAAATCTCAAGTTACAACGTCAAATATTTCCTCTCTTTTTCCCTTAACAGTTACTGTCTCGTATTTAAGCTAATACAGTTCTTATTATATCAACTCAGTAAAAACATCATTACTACATTTATCAATAATTTTTTATCTTAAATGTATCTTATTTTTTACATTCAAATCTTCATAAACAATTCATATCCTGTTATTATTTTTTCCCCAATTTTTAGTTTCCCATCAATATTCCAATTTAACCTTTGATATTTATAATTTTCAGGTTTTAGGTAACCAAGATTTTCCTTATCTCAATTCATAACAGAATCTAATATCCAAAATACACATTTTATCTATTTGAATATAATCTTGTTCTATTTCCTAAAAGTTATCTATTTCCCACCATATTAAATCATCTACTTAATACAATATCCCCTTTAATAAATCAAAGCCATTGTATACATTACCTGGTTTAATCAATAAATAAAACATATTCATAATAATTATTTTTTTCTTTCAGGTCTAATTTTTAAATATTAAACAAATAAAATCCTTATTTTCAACTAATTTCCAAATATTTTAAATCTAATGACCAGAATTCCCCTTATCTCAACTTCTCCCTTTAACCCTCTAATTAATAATATGAAATCCTGTCTAATAAATCAAAACTCCAATTTTCTTCAGCCTTATTCTGGCTTTCTTCCTTTGCCAACTAGGCTTCCATAGATCAAATAGATCTCCTTTATTATTATATATGTTATTTGAAATAAAAGAGACCATTTAATTGCCATTTTTTTGGAAGGACTAGCCCATTTGTATTCATAAAGTTGTCTCCCTATTATTCCAATTCCCCATGATTGCCCTGATATGTTTATCTTCCATTCAATCTGTTCTTCTTTCTCAAATTTCTTCTGATTTATATAGAAAGTCTTTTCCATTTTCAGTGGTGTCACTCCCTTTTCTGGATTTTCCATGAACTGTATTTGTTGGTCAGTTGAGTCCTCTGTCTTAATATTTGATTGTTCCACTTCTTCTGTTATCTTCTGAGTTGTTAGTTCTTTGCTTGTAGTCAAAGTTTGGGTTTGTGTATCTAAGCTGGTGTCTTGATCTTTTATGTTAGGTCTTATTTTATCACACGCTGAAAGAATGTTTTCATGTATTGCTTTCAACATGGAAAGGATCTTTTCCTGGTCTTCATCCATCTCTTTCACGTGTTTATAAATAGTCTTTATAGTAGAAGTCGTTTGTCAAGCAAGATTTTATAGTCCAAGGTATTTCATCATCTCATATGGTAACCAATATTCCTCAAATAAAGAGATAGAAAGGCAATTCCCCACATATAACTCTGAAAGTCAGTAAGGGTTTACATTCACAGTTCAAGTAGGCCATTTATGCTGCCCAGCTGTTCTTTTACAGCTGAGTTTCTCACAGGTGGTGCCAAGGTTAAAAGAGTCTTATTTAAGGTCTGGGCTTCGAGCCAAGTCTCTGTTAGAAAATAACAAGTTGTAATACCAAAGCAAAGTCTCCAATAAAAATAGGAAAAGTTTTGGTCCCCAAGTTTCAGGAACATATAAATCCAATTAGATTAAAGTTGTTCTTTTAATGCTTTAATTCCCTTGGATAGTCAGTCGCTGCTATTCTTAGAGGTTGGAATAGAAATTCCCTTCCCTCTCTCCTCACAGGGGGAAAGATATTTCAGGCAACTTTTACAGGAAAAGTATCGCGTTGCTTTCGAAGTGCTTGGTGGTAAGTTTGACTTCGACTGTCTGCAGCCTAGTGACGGGCTATATTACTATGGCCGGTCTTTCCTCCGCCGGTTTGGAGGGCTTCCCCGGACCGAGCGGAAGGGCTGCCGCCCTCCCGTGATCAAGCGGGGGTCCCCTCCTTACTCGTCGCCCCTAGAGGGTGACATTCTATCCTTTTCAGGGTCCCCCAGCGGAGCGAAACTGAACTCGGAAGACGGAGCTCGCCTTCCAGTGGCCACAGCGGCTGCAATGGCAAACCGGAAGACCGCATGAAGGTCTTTCTGATAGTACTCTCAACATACAAATGTTGCAACCAGGCATAAAAGATATACAGTACAGGCCAATCCTGAGAAATTTAATTTTCTTGCATCTTTAACATATGAATAATATATATTAATATATCTTTAATATATTATAGTATAGTATATATCCTTAATATACATATCCTTAACATACTATCTCATCCCAATGGGATTAACCCACCCCACTTGTGCCAGCACACCAGGCCTAATGTGTACTCCGTCAGGAATTCCAGCTAGCGGAGTCCGGGAGAAAAGCCTTTTCTGCTGCAGCTCCCATCCTCTGGACCATTATACCCCTTGAAGTGAGGTTCGTCCCAATCCTTTTGGCCTTCCATAAGAGCCTTAAGACTTAGCTCCAGTTGGCTTGGAGGCCAGATGGCATTGTGTCCTGGAGGCGGTTACTGGATTAAATATAAGTTCCCTCCCCAATCCATTGTATGCCCTCCCCATCTTAGCTACTCTTCGTTAATTTTAATGTTATATTTATTGTTCTGCTATTTTTAATTTTTTATAATATTTTTATCAGCTTGTAAGCCACCCAAAGTTGTGTGACTGCATATACATGTAATAAATAAATAAATATTTATGAACAATCCAATCATGGGTAAAGATATCATGACTAAAGGTGGTATGGGAACAACGGTTATTGCTGCATTTTTCCTATAGGAAGGCATCAGAAAAGTAATTAGAATGTCTGGTGCCTATGTCACATGTATTCAGATTTAAAATTAATTATTTAATTATGCCTATTGGATATTTATGACTTTATTAGGAAGAAATTAGTGGGCTCGCTAATGTTAGAAATTTGTATTTAAAATGTAATATTGGTTTTCTGTTGATCCTATTGAGGCATGATTAAATTTATTTATCATTTTGAAAAGTTCATTATTTAAAATACTTATTTGGAAACTAATAGATCAATACACTTTTTTATTGTTACTATATATACACACCATTGTCTAATTATAAAATCTTCTGAAGAAGTTTTTTTTTTCTCTGAATAAGTTTTTTATTTAAAAATACTTAAAAGGGAACATCTAGAGAAGACACATGAAACGACAACATCTCCAAAGGAATAAAATTTCTTTGTCAATAAAATTCATGAGGAAAGAAAAAAACAGCACAATACTCTTTCCGAATATCCTCATCAGCAGAGGAAATGGTGGCAAATTAGAAACACAAGTCTATCAAAAATCACTCACCTTAACCAAGTTATTATTACTGGA